GCACCAAACCTATACAAGATCCAGCAGTATGTGCCCTATGCTTGGAGGGACACCCGGCCAACTACAAAGGCTGCCAAATTTACAAGAATCTCAAAACCAGACACCAGAAAAACCGGATTCAAGATGAAGCACTAAGAACAAGAAGAGAGAGAGAGCCTTCCAGAATTGTAAACAATGATGTATCATTCTCCCAACTACTTAGAGGTAAGACTTTAACCGATAAATGTCAAGCCCTGCCACAACAACAACCTCAAACCCAACCTCAAAATCCTCTTCATCCTAATATACCTAACCACCAACAACAAATTCCTCATATTCCTCCTCCTTCAAATGCAACAGATCTCACAAGTTTGTTAGCATCTTTCCTCACCGATTTCAAATCCCTTGTTACTCCACTCATATCACTCCTCACGAATCTCGTATCTCACCTCATCCCTCCTTTGAAAAATCCTTAAATGACTCACATCCCTAAACCCATATCCATTCTCCTTTGGAATGCGAATGGTGTTAGAAATCATACAGACGAACTATCTACTTTACTACTTGACAAGAACATTGATGTGGCACTAATTACTGAAACTCGACTAACCACTAAACAGCACTTCAATATACCACAATACCTGACATATCGTACTGACCACCCTGACGGAAAAGCACATGCCGGTACTGCTGTAATTGTACACCAATCCCTCTCCCATCACCTACTCCCATTACCAATACATGATTTCCTACAGTCCACCGCTATCGTGATAAAAACCTTCTCCTTTCCGGTCACTCTTGCATCAGCGTATTGCCCTCCTAACCGATCCATATCCAATGCCCAATTCAGTTCTCTCCTCGACTCCTTAGGACATCACTTCATCTTGGGTGCAGACCTAAATGCCAAGCACCAACAATGGGGTTCCAGAACCACGAATTCTCGTGGCCGAACCCTGCTGTCTGCACTCAATTCCCAACGTTTTCACCTCCTTTCCCCCAACTCTCCTACCTACTGGCCCACAGATCCCAACCGTAATCCTGATCTTCTTGATTTCTTTATCCACAGCGGCTTAAGTCCCCTCAATTGTTCCATTACACGTCTAAATGAACTTTCCTCTGACCATAGTCCTCTAATCCTTAATGTTTCACTTGAACCTGTTCCCAAACCTTCTCCACCGTCATTCATTAGGGGCCCAGTAAACTGGGACCTTTTCCGCCAAATAATCTCCGATAATATTGATCTCAACATATCCCTCAAAACTCCCGATGACCTTGATAGTGCCGTAAATTCCTTTACTACCACAATCCAACAAGCCGCCTGGACTGCCTCCTTTCCAAAAGACTCCTCCAGAATTCCTATAAAGACCATTCTACCCCAACACCTCCTTAACCTAATCCGCACCAAACGCCGTGCCAGATTATTATGGCAACGTACCCGACATCCTACCGACCGCTGCTCCTATAATTACTACTGCAAACAATTAAAACTGGAATTAGCCACCTTCAGATCACAATCCTTCAACTCCTACCTATCCTCCCTCTCTTCTCGCGACAATTCCCTTTGGAAAACCACAACAAAAATCCTAAATCCTCACCGCATTTCCCATCCTCTCCGACGAGGTGATGGCTCCTGGGCAGCATCTGACGAAGATAAAGCTGAGGAGTTCGCCATTCACCTATCCAATACATTTATTTCACATCCGGAATCCCATCCTGCCCACACCGTAACAGTAGAAGAACTCCTTACATCACCAATCCCACTTTCCTTGCCCCCAAAAGCTATTCATCCTTCCGAAGTAAAATTTCAATTAAAAAAACTAATCCTCCGTAAAGCTCCTGGACATGATCTCCTTACACCTCAAATCCTTCGACAACTTCCATCCAAAGCAGTCATATTCCTTACATATATCTACAATTGTATCCTACGCACCACCCACTTCCCTCTGTTATGGAAACACTCCACTATTATCCTTTTCCCAAAACCAGGAAAACCTCTCAATAGCTCAACATCCTATAGACCAATCAGCCTACTCCCAATCCTTTCAAAAATTTTTGAAAAGATCCTTTTGAAACGAATCCTACCCATTATAGAATCCCAAAATATCCCTTCCCATCAGTTTGGTTTTCGCTCTCAACATTCTACTGTTCAACAAGGACTCCGAGTTGTTGATCATATTTCCTCAGCCCTAGAAAACAAGGAATACTGTTCGGGTGCCTTTCTGGACATTGCACAGGCATTTGACCGGGTATGGCACTCCGGACTGCTCTCCAAGCTTAAAATCCATTTACCTCAGTCCTTGTACCTAGTCCTCCGATCCTACCTCTCTGACCGCTCCTTTCGAGTTCGCTGTGGAACAGAATTTTCCAATATCTACTCCGTTAAAGCCGGTGTTCCCCAAGGCAGCGTCTTGGGTCCCGTGCTTTACATCCTCTTTACTGCTGACATCCCTGTTCATCCCGATACTTTTCTTGCAACATTCGCTGACGACACCGCAATCTTATCATCCAACTCTGATCCCGAAATAGCATCCTTAAATCTCCAAAGTCACCTCACCTTGATTGAGCACTGGTGTAATAACTGGCGCATTAAAGTTAATGAATCTAAATGCCAACATATTACCTTTACACTCCGACGCAATTCCTGTCCACCAGTACTCTTTAATTCCATCCAGCTTCCTTATTCAGACACAGTCCGGTATCTTGGCTTTCATTTAGACCGAAGACTAACTTGGAACCCGCATACTAGACTCAAAAGACAAGAACTCAACCGACGATACGGCCAACTATACCGACTACTAAGCAGAAAATCTAAACTTTCCATTGAAAACAAGCTACTGATCTACAAGACAATACTGAAACCTATTTGGACTTACGGACTAGAACTGTGGGGATCAGCAAAATTTTCTAACATCAAGCGCATCCAATCCTTCCAGTCTAAAGTCCTTCGAACAATAGTCGATGCTCCTTTCTATGTATCCAACAAAACCCTACATCATGACCTTAACATCCCATTTGTCCTAGACCTTATCCCAGAAAAATTCTCCAAATTTCACCAGAACCTTACTTACCACCCAAATCCTCTTGCACAATCCCTATCAAGCATCTCCCATCCCTATAATCCTCCAAGAAGGTTGAAACGGCAGTGGCCTCGCGACCTTTTGTAGATTATATAAATTGGAGTTCTGGCAATGGCCAGATTCTTCACTCAAGACATGTGTGTATGTGGCTAAAGTGCTCTCGACCAATCTCCGCTGGCTTTAGTACCAGTGACGCGGTTGGAAGAGTAGCGCAGGGTTCTCCTGGAGTTCCCTCGCCTGATTGTATATAGGTATGCATGTTATTTTTTTTTTTTTTTCCTTAGTTTTAATTTTCTTATTTTTTAGGTTATTTTATTTTATTGTCTATTGTATATACTTTTGATTATTATTTTGTTCTATTTATTTTATTTTTTTGTACATATGGTGTGAATGTCATCCTACCTCACTATAACCAATGTCGAACAGACAGATTGTTATAATACTCAATAAAGAAATTAAAAAAAAAAAAAAAATCTTTGTAAAAAAAAAAAGATAACGGAAAAGATCACTCGAGTTCTAAATGAGACATTAGTAAAATATTCCATGCGATTTTTCCACTACTTTGTCTAAAAAATTTATACTTTTGATGTTTTCCTTCTTTTTTTTTTATCTGATTAAACTGGTTTATCATTATCAAATAACGCTTAAGGAATTGACGGTACTTTATATAATTCATTGTAAATAAGACAGAGAAATATTTTATCTTATAATAAAAATAAATGAATAATAACAATAAAACAAGTATATATTTCGTTATTCATTGAAATTAATTAAAAAAATAATCCGACAAATAGTTTATCCGCTTTGATTAAAAGTAATAATTCTGTCAGGAGTAGTATAATCTTAAGATATAATGATAATTTAAAGGCTTTTTTCATTTAAATAATTATTATACAAACGAGTTTTGAATTCTTTATCCTAAGAACTTAATACATCATTTCTCCATTTTAGGTAATAATTACTTTAAAAAAATAATTTTCTTAGATTATATTTCGCAATACACATATATCCCAAAGGGAACTCAACATTGTTGGAAACGGCTATAATTTTCTTTTTATTTATTTTTTTCATTATCATGAACAAAAATTTTAAGGCCAAGCAAGTTCAAAGATTTGATGACCATGCATCCAACAAATGTTTCTCACATACCTTTCTCCACTAACATTTCTAAAACTCAAATCTAAAAGTTTAGAATTAATATAATCCTCTGACATATGTCTCAGTATTAATAATCTTATCATAGATTCCATTTTAACAGAGGATTTAATTATTATGTAATTACTCCATTATATTTGGCATGTTTAAGCATTATAATTAAGTATAAACTAATTATATCTCAACCAATGTGGTTGATTTTTGTTTTATCCAAACTCCAATAAATTAGTTACTTACGACAACATAATTGGACTGTGATTTCTAGCCAATCGAAAATATTTAACAGAATCTTTATAATTTTTCATGAAGAACGTTTAATATTATTAACTAATGTAATAATATTTTTTCTTATTTGTTTGTCAATACAATCGAGTTTTATAGGTTAAGAATCATTCTATTTGTATAAAATAGACTGATTCTTAAAGAAAACAATTACATATAAAAAACGATTGTATTGACAAACAGATAAGAAAATATTATTATGAGATATAATATTTAATAATATTAAAGATATGAAAATATAATATAATGAAAGAAGTATATTCTTTCATCTCTACAATGCAAGAGAATCATTTCACATTATTTTTTCTTTTCTTTTTTCTTGACTATTCATTCGATTAACGCCATATTGATAGATAATGAATATTATTTAATTAAAGATTCCATCCCCACCTGGTTATATATAAGCCATCTTGTGGATGTAGACACATGTAGGTACTATAACAGGATGGCGTTATAAAGTTTAATGGGATCATAGAGTTTGAGATCAGGGTTAATTTACATATCGAAATGGATGAAACTGGCAATTTACTTGAAACTACGTTTTCGACCGTAATAATTTCGTAACTATACCAAAGATTTTATTATTGTTTTGATTAATGTTAATATTATTCTAATATTTCAGGTGGTTTTATTTTTGCATCTAAAAAAAAAAATTCATTTTACATCAATGAAGCATACCTGGTTTCGTGAAATCATTGTTAAAATTTTAATCCCGTATACCTTTGTTACACGACAATTATTTTACTCAAGTTTAAAAAATATAGTGGTTACTTTCTGAAAACATTTTTTTAATAAACCTTAAACATATTACTTAAATTATAAATACAATCCAAAATCGATATAGATTATGACAATCTCTGCACTATATGTTTTTGGATTTATTTTAAAGCTTCATATTTACTTTCTCTAGATATTTCATTTAATTTCAGAAAAATATTTAACCCCATTTAATATTAAAAATAGACTAATTTCTTAATTATTGTTTAATTAACTATATTAATTGAAAGATCATTAGTTTTAATCATTTTCATTAGTTTTTAAGACACATGTTAGATATTTATTAGCGTAAAATATTCAAAGTAAATATATATATATGATAAATAAATGATTTCTAGTATTCATATATTTTATCTTAAACACTTATGAGCTTGAAATTTGTAAATACCTATGAATTGTCCGTTTAATAGGTGTCAACGTTAATGCCTAGTAGTAAAAAATATATTTTCTCTAAAAATATCAGATTATATATATATATATATATATATATATATATATATATATATATATATATATATATATATATATATATATATATAATATGATTAATTATTTCGATAAATGACTATACTTAACAACACTTTTTTATTCGTTATAATTATTATGAATGAAAATCTATGAATATCTACAAAATTTATGATTATGGTTAAATGAAATGGAATTATTCTAGTTAATGTAAACATAATTTTATTAGAGCATGACTGTTCAGGCCATGATTAATCGGGGTGAGCGATTGAAATATCAATCTTCGCGGAATGCAGTCATCCATCCATGTTCTGACCAGGGTCGATTGCTCTTAACCTCGAAAACCTGTTGTTTGCGAACACTCGACCTCTCCTGTATCCATATATCCCTTCTGGTTATCATTAATACTTGATTTATTTCACTATTTTTATAATTGAATAATTGATAGCAATTATATTTTTTTTTAAGTTTATCGATGTTTTTTTTTTCTGCGGGTAACACATTTGTAATTTTTTTCGGCTGAGACTATAGATATAAGATCTTTGACAGCACTGTTCTTTTCACCGACTCACTCAGGTTCAAGGACAGTGACAAATCGGTCTAGATCCATGGATTATGACTGTTGAGAGTCAGCAGGCGCATCAGAATCAATATTTTTTCCCTGAAACAAATCGTCCATGGATCAAAATTTCCGTTTAAAGTATTCAGCACAGTTACAGTCATCATTCTCTTGTCTGGAATGGGTGGTATCTCAGGCAGCGTGGAGAGTCACAAAATCAAGACTTACCGAACTCGACGTTGCTTAACTTGGATTACTTATTGCAAACGCCTTAGCCGCTCGGCCATCCCGGCCTCACACATAAATATAAATATATATATATATATATATATATATATATATATATATATATACACATATAAATATATATATTAAAATGTTTTTATAATTCGACCTTTATATATTATAACTTGAGATATCAATTATAGTCGGATAATAAGGTCATGAACTACACTTCAATGAGCTAAAACAGCTTATTATTTTTTATATTCAAACGTTTCGATCCCTGTTATATAGTGTTGCCCAAATGCGAGACCGAGACGAATCTTGGTCTTGTGCAACAGTCTTGCAGTTACCTCTTAGCTTATTACAATAAAGATATCACCGTAATTTTTTAGATAAATCTAACTAAGAATGAAAAATTAGGGGAGTTAAATGCAAATTATGTATATTGGTTTTACCAATTACTGACATATAGTAACTAAGATTTTCAAGTATTTGTAACTATTTTGCCTTAATTTATTTTTAAAAAATAGATTTTTTTTACTATTCCTGGTCTTGGTATTGCAACAGAAAGGCGGCCTTGGACCGATTTTGGGCAACACTACTGTTATTTATATATAAATATATGTATAACCCCTGTTTTATATATACATATAAACAGAAGCTGTTTTATATATATATATATATATATATATATATATATATATATATATATATATATATATATATATATATATATATTCATAGATTTTCATTCATAATAATTATAACGAATAAAAAAGTGTTGTTAAGTATAGTCATTTATCGAAATAATTAATCATATTATATATATATATATATATATATATATATATAATATATATATATATATATATATATATATATATATATATAATCTGATATTTTTAGAGAAAATATATTTTTTACTACTAGGCATTAACGTTGACACCTATTAAACGGACAATTCATAGGTATTTACAAATTTCAAGCTCATAAGTGTTTAAGATAAAATATATGAATACTAGAAATCATTTCAAATATCTGAATATAAATGTGATGATAAAATCGCTCGAAAATGATTCAAACAAAGATTTGGTTTATTTACAGGTAAGATTCTTAACTAAACGATGAATACATGAATGCACTCTACGCTTGAACAACTATACTATAATTAAAATGTTAAACTTTGTTAAATATTTTAAAGGATGTACATCTGAGAGAAAATTCAGGAAAATAGCAGATGGGAACATTTTATATTTTCCACTAAGGGAGTTAATAGAATTTCAAAGAAGATGTTCCATGAAATTTAAACCGTTTTGTAGTTGCTAAACACTTCTAAACACTTCTGTAGGATCCAGTTTCTCGTCTACCCTTCAAAGAATTCTTTTACTGACTCTAGGTCTTAAAGTTGACAAAAGGTCTATTTATAAATTTCTTCAATAAATTATTTTCCTTGTTATTTATTTTGTTTCATTGTTTATTTATTATTATTATTATTTTGTTTAGGGCGTTATTCGGGTTGATGTTAAAATAAACTATCTTATAATATTAGCTATGCACTTTTGAGCGCATATCAATACAAATAAATAGTTTAGTATGTATTATTATATGAATGTGCACATAAAAATACAGCAAATATAGGTTTATTATTTCCAAATAGATTATCTTGAAGATAAAATATGAACAAAATAGGTGCTAAGGAGTTATTATACTAACCTCTCCTCTCCTCTCCCCTCCCCCTCCCCAAAAAATAGAGCAATAGAGTTCCGTCACTGAGGTCCTATCTTCCACTTATTTTATATTGGAAAAAATATAAAAATAAAATGACGGCATGTGATAAACCCCGAAAGACACTGCTATTAATGCCAAATGAAAATAGACAATAAACCTAAACTTAATACTGTTCCAAATTCTATCAGAACCTTATAAATCATCCGAATCCCCTGGCACAATCCCTATCTAGTTCAACTCATCCCTACAATCCTTCTCGAAGGTTGAAGCGGCAGTGGCCTAGAGATCTTTTGTAATATAGATCTTGGAGTTCTGGAAATGGTCAGATTCTCCACTCAAGACATGAGTGTATGTGGCTAAAGCGCTCTCGCTCAAACTCCACTGGCTTTAGCAGCAGTGACGCGGTTGAGAGAGTAGTCCAGGGATCTCTTGAAGTTCTGTTTTTCCTTCTATAGTTGGGGGGAGGGAGAAGCCTGGAATTCCCTGCCTGACTGTGTATAAGTATGACTGTGTTTTTATGTTTTTAATTTACTTATCTTTAGGTTATTTTATTTTTTATTGTACATAGTTTTTGATTATTATTTTACTTTTGTTAATTTCATATTTTCTGTATATATGGTATGAACGTATTCATATATCACTATAATTATTGTCCACGTGACAGATTGTTATATTTCTAAATAAATAAAAACAAATAATTAAAAAAAAAATGCTGTTCGAATATCAATTAATGCATTTTTTGTTATCATTTAGGAGAAAATTTAATTACATTCTGGCAAAAATCGTCGAAAAATGCATATATTTTTTTGAATTCTTATCAAATAAAATATTGCGTTCATTAAACATTTTTTTAGCCATTTTTTGTGGTACGTGGTATACATAAATGTATAGAATTTCAAGAGAAACAATCACGAACTAATCAATGTTTTTCACGAAGAGCGAAAAACTATATTGTCAATGCCAATTGTAATATCAAAACCAATATTTAAAAGATAATAAATTGAGATATTCATTCATTGTATAATATATTTTTCAAAAATCGCTGGTTATTTCAATGAATAAAACTTAAATACTCGCTTTAAAAAAAAGTTAAGGTTCAGTTTTGAAAAGAAATAATGGTGAATAATTTTAGGTGAAGAGGAACTAAGAATACATCAAAATTCAACTATGAAAAATTAAATTTTTGTTTACATTAATAGATTTACTTATAATTTTTAACTTTAAAAAAACGGTTAAAAAAGTTGTTGATAATTTTTTGTTTACACTTAGGGAATGCTTGTTCCTATACATTCCATAGTTCCAATAAAAAAAATTAAAAAAAAGAGGGCGGTTTTGGAAATAAACTTATTTTCACACCACTAATTTTAATATAAATTTAAGTTTCTTTTTAATAAAGAAAAAATTGCACCATCGGTTTCTATGAGTGTTTTTACAGAGGAATCGATACTTATCTTGATTTTCATAAAACTCAATTAAGGTTCATTTCGAAAATAAACGATTAAGCCAGTGTCTATAAATTTCTACTCTGTGAAACAATAACGCCTTTAAGAGTTTTAATCAATGTCTCTAGCAGGGTTTGAAATCTATGTTCACATAATCATGTAATACTTATTATAGTTGATTTTCAATTTAAAATTCGTGCCTGATTTATTTATTTATCGATTAAAAATATTGATCTCTCACTGAGTGATGTGGTTTTACATAAATGGTAATGATTAAATTGTTCATCAACAAAAGTTTGATCAGAAAATAAAAATCACCTTTTACACACAAATTAAATAAAATATGAATATGTATATATACGTTACTAATGTACACATTTTTAAGGTTATATTTCTGAGATCGCTTTAATTGAGCACGCGGTACCTGCACTATAAATATGTATACATATACATTTTTTTTTTTTGTAAGCCAAAACATATAATAAATTTCGGAAATAAAGATGTTCTGTTGTTAATAGTTGACAAAAATATTCTGCATATATTACTCCAGACTTAAAGTATATTATATTTATTTATTTGGTT